ATTAAAAGCTTCTGAACATCAACAACTAGAGGGATCAAAGCAACCAGCTTTAATGTGCTACATTAAAGATACTTATTCTAGCATTTGTAAGCTCATGCATGTAATTTATTTTAAAAAAAAATCTCTTATCAACTATTTTACAAACTGATGATTTTATTAGGGCTGTTCAGTGGTGCAGTGGGTAGCACTGTCGCCTTGCGGCAAGAAGATCCGGGTTGAATTCCCAGCCCGGCTCTTTCTGCATGGGGTTTGCATGTTCTCCCTGAGCATGGGTGGGTTCTCTCCGGGTACTCCTGCTTCCTCCCACAGTCCAAAAACATGACTGTTAGGTTAATTGGTTTGTGTAAATTGTCCTTAGGTGTGTGTGTGTGACTGGTTGTTTGTCTCTGTGTTGCCCTGCAATGGACAGGCGACCTGTCTAGGGTGCACCCAAACTCTCGCCTGTAGAAAGCTGGAGCATCCTTCCCGACCCCGCTTGCGATAAGCATGACAGAAAATGGATGGATAATTTCAATTATTCTGACTAAAATGTCAAATAGTGATGGAAAAGGTCGAGAAATTTGTGAAAGTTACAAGTAAAGCGTGACGTTTCTGCTACAGGTATATTATCTGTGTGTTTTTGCACATGTTTGTGTCTCACAGCTCTTCAGTGTTCGGCGGCAGGTGCTCTGGGAACTTGGTGAGGCGTAGATTGGAGCAGTCGACCACATTGGCCTCACAGCGACATTTAGCAGGACACACAGGCTTACTGTTACACTCGTGGCTCAGGCGTCGGTCTTCAGCACCTCCATACAAACACACACAGAGATTGGATGAAAAGCCAGCCGTAGAAATCTTCTAAAAAAAATGTCTAATTGTTTCTGTGAATGTGAAAATAATGGCTCTAAATCCAGACATATTTACCTGGGATGTGGTACTGTTCCTTGGCTGTAAGGAAAAGCAATCAGAGACGAGTTTGTCAGTGAGAATTACACTCGAATAAAAGGTGGACAGCAATATTTAATAACAAACATCCAGCAGGAGAAAAAACAAGGTTTGATCATCCTTTTTTCAGGCCTTGCAGCTTTTTAAGGTTGTGTGGAAACAGTCTGATATTAACCTCTGATTCTCTGGCTTTATGCAGGCCGATGTCACAAAGTGGGAGATGAAACTTACCCAGATCCTTTACTTACAGCTGTCCAAATCTCAATAAAATCTTTCCCAATTTGCTATCTTTTTTTTTAATTTGCTTATCTTATAGACAAACTTTATAACACTCTTAAATCTAGACTGTTATTAAAAACAGAACAAACAAACAGTCCCATACTGTAGGGTTAAAGATTCAGAAAGTCTCTTGAAATAAATCTGCAGGCATTTCAAAGCAAATATTTGAAATATAAAAAACACTGCAAAAAATTGAAATCTGAATTTGTAATTTTTCTCAAATTAAGTGCATTTGTTCTTGAATTGAGGAGGTAAGTGAGACACTTTGCCAATGGAAGAAGACAATTTACATTTAAAATAAGAAAAAAAAACAATTACATTGTCGTATTTCAAGTGTATATTATCTGATTATCTTGTTTTAGGAGTAAAAATACTAATTCCATTAGCAGATCATCTAATTTACCTGCTCAAATTAAGGGTAAATATACTTAATTTACCTAAGTCATTTTTTACTTGTTTCTAGATGTTTTTTGCAGTGGATCTGCTCTTCTTTGGTTTTAAAAAGGTTAAAATGCTAATCTACATAAAGACAGAGCCTAAAGGAACAGAGAGATTTTAGACCTCTGAGGTCGTTTTTTTCTGAGCTTAAACCAAACCTCCAAACACCATCCCAGAAGTTTGTACGTTTGTAGACGTCTAATCTGTTCAGTTAATTCAGAGGGAAACCTCCCAGCACACTGGACAAATGATCTAGAAGTACGTAAAAAAATTACTAAATTAAGTGTATTTACCCTTAATTTGAGTAGGTAAATGAGATGGTTTGCCAAGGGAATTAGTATTTTTACTCTTAAAATAAGATAACTAGATAATATGCACTTGAAATAAGACAATGCAACTGTGTTTTCTTATTTTAAGTGTAAATTGTCTTGTTCCATTGGCAAAATGTCTCTTTTACCTCCTCAATCCAAGAACGAATGCACTTATTTTAAGAAAAAAAATGACTTATCTAGATTTTGATTTTTCCCAGTGCAGCTGGTGGTTTTAAACTTCCTGCAGAAACCTGCTTCACATGTAGAAAGACGCAGACGTACCGGAGCATCTGAACTTGTTGCTCTTGATCTGAGCAATGCGTTTGTTGGCAAGGCGGCGAGGGCTGGCACAGCGAGCTCCGCTGGTCTCTATCGGGTTCGAACTCAAGAAGTCAGCCAGCCACTTCACATGACAGTCACAAACAAACGGGTTTTGGGCCAGGTGGCTGAGGAGACGCCACAAAGCGGTGAGGAGAGCAACCGGATCAAACACTGCAGAAGGTGCTTCTTGTTTTACTCACAGGGTCTGGATGCTGTGCAGGGAGCTGAAGGTTCCCTTAGCCAGACTCTGGATCTTGTTGTCGTATAAAGATAGAAGGGCCAAGTTTTCCAGGTCTTTGAATGCTGTAGCTCGGACACAGTGGATTTTATTTGCATTCAGCAATCTGCAGAATAAGAAACTGGGATCAGAAATTCTTAGATTCTTTACTTTGATTTCTTTGTTATGCATAAAATAAAGATGATATATGTAAAAACACTTTCAATGGATGCAAAGTGCATAAAACATCAGATTTCATCATAACGGACAGTTTTAACAGCAATATTGGAGCGAATGGAAACAGAATAAACTTCATGACTTGGAATTAACACATTAAGATATTTTAAATATTTTTTTTATTTAGCCTCATGTCAACTTTATATGAGATGGAACGTTGTGATGCTACTTTGATTGATGGGGTATTTTAGACTTACAGCAGCTCAAGAGAAACCAGGCCATCAAAAACTCCACTGGGTAGCTCGGTGATTTTATTACCATACAAAACCCTGCAAAAAAGAAACAGCAGGAGACACTTTATACCGGCTGTTATTGGCTCTTTAATTTCATAAAAGTGCACACAATTTATAACAAAGATACACATTAGCAAACAAGTCAGAAATAAGGCATAGCACATGATTATACAACATTCACGATCAGTGGTGCCATAATTCCAGTTGTCATCTAAAAGTGTATCTTTGAGCTGCAACCGTTCTGCAACACACCAGAGTCAAATACGTCAATTCTGTTCAGTCATGCTGGTTACACAGGATCAGGTATGACTATAAAACAATGATTAATCTCAAGCAGGATGAGGAAAAGTGATATTTTATGCCTATTTCCTCTGTATAAAATGTGAAATTTGGTTTTAAGAGTGAGTCAATAACAAGTTTGCTCTTAGCCGGGAGAATAAGGTTTCTGTCAGCCCTATGCTCCTCAGTCCAGATTTCTCAGAGATGTAGGTATACTTATCATATGGTGGCTGTGGGGTGCAAACGGCCTGCAAATACAAGAAGTACTGCAGAGAAAATTAAATGACTAGCAGAAACAAGACATGCAAAGGACAAATATTGCAAATGATAAATACCGTACTTGCAGAAAATAATAAGCAGCAAAGTGCAAATATGCTGCAAACATAAATCCCGCAGCAAATATGCTACATAAATTATGCTAACACACAAAAATTATACAGAGGGAATGCTGCAAGTAGCAAAAAACACCTGCAAATTATGAAAGGCAGGAAACTAGCTTTATACCACTGGGTGGGAGATGATCATCAATTCATGGGACAAGACCAGTGATAATACTGGGAAGTAAAATCTATGAAACTGTTTGGAATCTAGTTTGTGTTGGTTGTACTTTTGTTTGTTTTCCCTCCACCACCAGGCGGTGCCTTGTTCTGGTCCGCCTCCTCACACACCTGCGGATGGTTACCTCATCACCAGAGGACTCTTAAGCTGCTGACTGCCACTACCTCGACGCCAGAGTGTTTGCCAGTTTCGGGTAGTCTAGCCAAGTTTTTGTCTAGCTGAGCTTTTTAACCTTGCTGTTTTTGTTTTTGCCTCTCGGCAGGAAGTCATCCTGCAAACTGGATGTTTTGGACCTTCTCCCCCCTGGAAGGATTCTCTGAGCATCAAACTTAGCTGAGGATTCAAGTTTGTGGTTTGGATCAACTTCTCCCCCCAAGGATTGTTAGGGACGTCTCTCTGAGCAGGGGATTCATCTCCACAATAACACATTCAAGTACAGCAGGAAAACTAAGTGGCAGTCAGCTTCTCCGTTCACCAAGGACAAACCGCAATCTGGGTAAACCCCGTCCGCCCTCCAACGAGCAAGACATTCACTGGAACAAACCACACCAACTGGATTCAATCAGAGACACCTTTTTCTGGAAACGTGAGTCTGCAACCTTAATTTTCTTTTTCAAATCAAAGACACTAATTTCCCACTGAGCCTGAACTAACCGCAGTATCTTCCCCTTCACTTTCCAGTTCCGGTTCAACAGTGTTCAGAGCAGCACTAGACTCATCTCATTCACTCTCAATAAAACCTGTTAAACTTTTCCCTGGTCTCTCTGTTTGGTCTTCTGCATGTGGGTCAGAGCTCTAGATAAAATCATGGCAGAAACTGATTGTTAGCTATTGGAAAGGGGAAGCAAATATATAGGGACTTCAATCGAGAAGATGAAAGAAAAAAAAAAGTTATTTTTTTCTTGAAGTCTGTTTTTAAAAACTGAATCTCTCAGTTTATCCCTTTTATGCCTCTACTAATGGTTTTGGGTGCTTCAGGTGAGTTGCTCATCGTCTCCCCCTTGTGGTCCGGAGCACATCCGTTATCTGGAGCTAGTTTGAAGCTTTTAAATCTGCAGTTATTTTTTATTATTTCCCAATGAGTGTTTTTTGTATGTTAGCATCATTTATGTTAGCTATGTAAGCTGCGTTTTATACGTTTGTGCGTTAGTCTACTTGTGTTTGGTTGTTTAATTTTTGGATTTGCTTCCTGTTTATGTATTTGCAGTGCATTTGTACCTCTCAGCCACTGTATTAGGATACATAGAACAGTTCTTTTTCCTTTAGTAGGTGAGGAGTCACTCAACTGTATCATAATTCAAATGCTGTGATTAAATCCAAATTTGCTGAGTATTATTGTCAAAGTGTTTACGTTTACTGTATCTCACCAGATTAAAAGGCAATTTCTCACATTATCTCCCTGATAGGATTAACCACATTACACAGATGCCAATGCTTTGAAATTATTATTCATGATCCTATTTGTACTTCCCTAAAGCCTGCCAATATAAGAGGCTATGCACACATTTGAGTTTCACTGTATAGAATAAAGAAGGAGAAAAATTAAAAGCATTAAAATGAGAGAGAGGAAGGAAACAACACTCACAGTGAGTTCAGAGCTCTGAGGCCATTGAACGCATCAGGAGCGATCTCAGATATCTGATTGTTGCTCAGGTCTCTGGGAACAGAAAATAAATATTTATTACAGATGTATGGAAGTGAGAGTTTTTCAGAAAAGGCTTCAGTAATTTAATTGCTTTCATGAACCGATAATGTCCTGCTGGACTTCATCACCAGCTCAAAACCCAAAAACTCTGCTTCCATTAGTTTGAGAAATTTAGATTAAGTTGAACCGTTTAAAAAAAAGCTGCATTCTTTTTGAACAATAAAGCTAAAGATTCTATAAAACTATCAAAATATCAGAGATTTTTTTAATTCAATTCAATTCAATTCAGTTTATTTATATAGCGCCAAATTCACAACACATGTCATCTCAAGGCACTTCACAGTTCAACCAGATCATAAAGTCAAATTGATACAAAGTTCTCCATCTAAGGAAAACCAGTTGATTGCATCGACTCATTGACTCAATACAATCCCTCACACTAAGCATGCTTGTAGCGACAGTGGAGAGGAAAAACTCCCTTTAAACAGGAAGAAACCTCCAGCAGAACCAGGCTCAGTGTGAGCGGCCATCTGCCGAGGCCGACTGGGTTCAAGAAGACGGAAGCAGAGACACAAAAGCAGCTGTAATAGGCGGCCCCGTCCAGGAAACACACAGCCAGGCAGACGAGCTCCGAGCCAGCTCCCATGTCAGAGGACGAAGAAAGCACATCCACCCAGTCACAGCACAGCTGATGTTTCTTTCCAGGATGACGTCACAGCCAAACAGGAACAGACAAGGCAAAGCTACTCTGAGGAAAAGCAGATAGAGCAGAAGGTTAGAGATTGAACTAACAGATTCTGCAGAATAGGAGAATAGAAAGAGAATGAAGCAGAATGATGAAATGGGGGTCCCTATGTCCTCCAGCAGTCTAAGCCTATAGCAGCATAACTATAGAGATAGCTCAGGATAACCTGAGCCACTCTAACTATAAGCTTTATCAAAAAGGAAAGTTTTAAGCCTAGCCTTAAAAGTAGACAGGGTGTCTGCCTCACGGACTAAAACTGGTAGTTGGTTCCACAGGAGAGGAGCCTGATAACTAAAAGATCTGCCTCCCATTCTACTTTTAGAAATTCTAGGAACCACTAGTAAACCTGCAGATTGAGAGCGAAGTGCTCTGTTAGGAACATAAGGAACAATCAGATCTCTGATATAAGATGGAGCTTGGCCATTTAAGGCTTTATATGTGAGAAGGAGGATTTTAAATTCTATTCTTGATTTAACAGGAAGCCAATGAAGAGAAGCCAGGATAGGAGAGATGTGATCTCTCTTTTTAATTTTCATCAGAACTCTGGCTGCAGCATTTTGGATCAGCTGAAGACTCTTAACTACAGTTTGTGGACTTCCTGATAGTAAAGAATTACAATAGTCCAGCCTTGAAGTAACAAATGCATGGACTAGTTTCTCAGCATCACCCCTGGACAGGAGATTTCTAATTTTTGCAATGTTCCTCAGATGAAAGAAGGAAATTCTAGAAACCTCTTTGATATGGGATTTAAATGACAGGTCCTGATCAAAAACAACACCAAGATTTTTTACTTTATTATCTGAAATCAGTTTAATCCCATCCAAATGAAGTGACTGACTAATCAGCTTATTTTTCAAAGACTCTGGTCCAAAGACTATAACTTCTGTTTTGTCTGCATTCAGAAGCAGAAAGTTAAGAGTCATCCAGGTTTTTATGTCTTCAAGACATGCCTGTAATCTATGTAATGGGTTAGCTTCATCTGGATTTATAGACAGATATAGCTGGGTATCATCAGCATAACAGTGAAAATTAATCCCATGCTGTCTAATAATTCTACCAATTGGGAGCATGTATAAAGTAAATAGAATTGGTCCTAGCACTGATCCCTGTGGTACTCCACAGGTAACCTTTGAGCATGTTGAAGATCTATCATTAACATGAACAAACTGAAATCGATCAGATAGATAAGATTTAAACCAGTCTAATGCTGTTCCTTTAATTCCAACAAAATGTTCAAGTCTTTCTAAAAGAATATTATGGTCAACTGTATCAAATGCAGCACTAAGATCCAACAGGACGAGCACAGATACAAGTCCATTATCTGAGGCCATGAGAATATCATTAGTGACTTTCACCAGAGCTGTTTCAGTGCTATGATGAGCTCTAAAGCCAGACTGAAACTCTTCAAAAAGTTCATTATGGTGTAAGTGATCGCAAACTTGCTGGGCAACTACTTTCTCAAGAATTTTGGATAAGAAAGGAAGATTGGATATAGGTCTATAATTAACCAAGTCATCTGGGTCAAGAGACGGTTTCTTAAGCAGAGGTTTAATTACAGCAACCTTAAAAGCTTTAGGTACATATCCCTGAAACAGAGATAAATTAATCACATCTAAAATGGAGGAGGAGATCAAAGGGAATGCCTCCTTAAATAACCTGGTTGGAACTGGATCTAACATACAAGTTGAAGGCTTAGATGAAGACAATAATTTTGCTAATTCAGAGAGTTCAACTGGATCAAAGCAGTCTAAACCCGGTTCAGATTCCATGACTACCTCAGGTACAATCGCGGATAGAGGAGTGCTTATGATCTTATTTTTAATAAGATCAATCTTATTTATAAAGAATCCCATAAAATCATTGCTGCTAAGAGCAGGTGGAATGGACGGTTCAACAGAGCTATGGCTCTGGGTGAGTTTGGCAACTGTATTAAAAAGAAATCTAGGATTATTCTTATTCTCCTCTATTAATGAGGAGAAGTATGCTGCTCTTGCTTTACAAAGGGTCCTCTTATACAGCAGTAAACCATTTTTCCAGACTAGGAAGGACTCCCGCAGGCCTGTGGAGCGATATTTTCTCTCCAGTTTCCTAGCATTTTGCTTTTTTTTATGAAAGTATCACCCTTTGTAGACTTCTGTTTAAGTTTCTTTTTGAGTTTTCAGTTACACTTTGATTTATGTCATTCTGTGTTTTCTGGGTCCATAGGTTTCTTTTCCATTTTGTGTCATTCTTGTTCTTTTCTAATTATATTTAAAGGAATAGTACACCCAAAACATGATTAGCCTTCATTTTCTACTCACCCCCATGCTGAACAACACTCTGGAGTACTTTTTTGATTCCTTTAAGCAGTGTTGTATTTTTTGAGTTACTCTGTCGCCCCCTTGTGGCAGTCTCCTTTCCCCTAGCTCCCTTCTAGTTACTTCTATCCACACCTGCTCCCCATCAGCTTATTAGCTGATTCTTTGTTCTTTCTCCCATATAAACACCTCCTGTGCACTTCCTCATTGCTGGATTTTCTACATTAATAATTCCCGAGTTCCTTGCCTGTTTCTGGATTATAAGCTTCTGTACTATCATCTTCTTTAAATATGAAAGAAATCATCTAATGATTTTCAGGAAATAAAAAGAATCCAAATGTATAAAATTGTGTTTGGGTTACCTATAATAAACTTTAGATTGTTAAAACTGTCAGTTTTGTATCCAATAAAAGTTTTAGCCAGGACTTTTAATGTCAATCTTTAACCATATTTTTTTTTTATCTTTATCATATCCCATGATAGAGACTGACTTAACTGCAGGAGAACTCACATTCGCCGAAGTTTCTTGTAAGAGCTGAAAGCACCAGGAGGAACCGACTTGATGCCGTTCTGCTCCAGACGACTACAGGAAACAAAGAACAGAGTAAAACGGTGATCGGCTGCCTTTTATTTCCATTGGCACAATATTGTGTTTACTGATATCCAAAACTTTCCAGGTTAGAATAAATTGCTTGAGCTATATCTTTTTAGTGTGCTTCTGGTAGGGAGAAAGCCCTTTCTCATTCATTAGAACCTTGTTTTTGGTGGGTTTTGGATGCAGGTTTCAGAAGAATGTTGAAGCTTTTGAATTTTCAAGATCGGTATTTAATAATCTTAAAATCTGAAGTCTACAATTTTTTTTACTTTAGTGTAAACATGTCCTTAATACAGTTAGGCAAAAAAAATAGTGTTTCTTCAGCCCCTGATTGTCCAGGTTCTCCTACTTTGAAAGATGAGAGGTCTGTAATTTTCACCTTAGGTAAACTTCGACTATGCGAGAGGAAAAAACACACAGGGAATTACATTTGGGGATTTTTAAAGATTCTGTACATTACGATGAAAAAATACAAACAAAAGTTAAAATCAGTACTTCGTAGCAGAACCTTTGTTGGAAGTGACAGAGGTCAAACATTTCCTGTCAGTTTTCATTAAGGTTGCTCACATTGTAGCTGGTATTTTGGCCCATTCCTCCATCAGATCTCCTCTACAGCAGGGCTGTTTTGGGGCTGTCGCCAGGAAAACGCTGACTTTCATCTCCCTCTCAAGATTGAGTAGGCCTTTCCAGGACCTTGAGATGCTTTTTAATATAGTTGCTCCTTTGTTGCCCAGCAACGTGTTTTGATAATTGTCCTGCTGGAAGACGCAGCCATGTTCCACCCATAACCAATGGAAGGAGGTTTGGGCTTAAAATCTCACCAAACCCATTTATTCCTTCCTTAACATCGATCTATTGTTAAATCCCCTTTACAGAAAAACAGCCCCATAGCATGATGGGTCCACCCCCATGCTTTGCAGTAGACATGCAGTTCAGCGTTCTTCTTCTTCCAAACATGAAGAGTTGAGTTTGTGCCAAAAAGTTCTATTTTGGTTTTGTCTGACCACATGATGTTCTCCCGATCTTCTTCTGGATCCTCCATATATTTTCTGACAAACGTCAGACAGGCCTGGACATGTATTGCATTCAGCAGAGGGACACGGCTGGTACAGCAGAATCTGCGTCCCTCTGGGTGTAGAGTGTTACTAATGGTGGCCTTTGCCCCTTCGCTCTTTGTAGGTCATTCATCAGATCCTTCTGGGAACTTCTGGGAGTTTGCTCCCCATTATTATGATCATTATGGGACCTCAGATCTACAGAAATGATCTTTGGTGTTGTATGTCTTTCATTTTCTTTCAATTGTTCCCTCAACTGATTTATTCACCAATCTTCTTGCCTGTTGTAGATTTACTCTTCAAGCCTGGTGCAGCAGTTCTTTCATCCTGGCCAAAGTTCAGTTGGAGTGTGACTGTTTGAGGCTGTTCACAGGTACCTTCTATATAGATAATAACTTTAAACAGGTGCCATTAATACAGGAGGACAAAAGAGCTTCTGAAAGAAGTTAAAGGTCTGTGATGACCCGAAATCTGGCTTGTTTTGGTTACTTATTTCCACAATTTAAAAATAAATTATTTAATAATCCTACAATGTCTTTTTTTTTCTTTTCTTTTTTTTCTTGTTTTGTCTCTCAAAGTGAAATTGTAGCTTTGATTAAAATTAAAGACCTCTATTATCTTAGTAGGGGAACTTGAACAATCAGCAGCTGCATCAACACTTTTTGGGCCCAATTTCAATATTATTGCTATAATCTAAATTTCTTTGTTTTCTGCGTAGCTGCTTTATTCTTATATGCATGATGTCAAGCGTCTCTTTTCAAAGATGCATGATTTTCTGACAAAATGACTATTTTACCTGCTAGAGTAGCTTACTTACATCTCTGTCATGGCCTCTGGCAGGTGGGCAGGTATGGCGGTTAGGCCCCTCCCTCGACAGTTGACGATGTTGTTGCTACAGGAACACATGGGAGGGCAGGACCCGGACGCCAAGCTGCACGGCTGAACGAAGGCACTGCCACTGTGGCCTTAAAGGAAGATTAGAAGGAACACTTCTTAAATCAGTCTGTTCAGCAGAAATGTGACTGTTAATAGCGTCTACAAGTTCGATTGCAGTTTGTATGAGATAACGTGTGTAGTGGGGAAAAAAAGTATTAAACTATTCACCCTAGTTAAATAAACAGAGATCGATGGATTTCACTCAGTTGGCACATTTATTTATATCTTTGCAAAGAGAGAACAGTTCATCATACGGCCCTTATGGCACAGTATTATGCCCTGTTCTGCCTGGTCAGCGTTCGTTCCCCCTTACTTATAACAATTGAAAAGTAGTCAGAGTCATAACAAATTACAAACACTTTGGTTAACAGTGACAGGTTATGAATAAACCTTGAGAAAGAATCTGGCTTGTTATGGGAAGAAGCTATGACTGGTCTACAAACACCATCCTGCAGAGAATTGTGTGGCCTGGAAGGTGAAACAGACTGAGTGAAAACTTCTATAGTGAGTAAATAGGATAAATTAATATATAATAGAAGAGAAATCTAAATTTTCTGATAACACATGTCATTTATTATTTCTCTTGTTCTTTTTCTTTAGTTTTTTAATATTTTTCAGAGGTGCCAGCTATTGAAGAAAAAGGAATGAAGAGTAAAACATGGAAAGTAGAATGTAGGTTGATGGTATGTTCCATAAATGTTGGCACATGGGCATAATTCTAATCGTTTTGTCTCTATACACCACAATGGATTCGAAATATAATAAACAAGGCTGTAAAATGGAAGCAAAGCCATTAGGGGGCAGTGGTGTCAAAAGTACACACATTTGTTACTTAAGTAGAAGTATAGATACTGCAGTTTAAAAACACTCTGGCAAAAGTTGAAGTATCATTTTCACCTCTTTACTCAAGTAAAAGTGAAAAAGTATGTGCTCCAAGAACTACTTAAAGTATAAAAGTATAAAGTAACCTTTAAAAAAAAAAACAACAGCCAGATGCCACTATATGAACTGAAAGCTCAATTTTTTGACAATTTCGAAAAATTCTTTGAGATAGGGCCAAGGATGAGGAAGGTCTTGTTGGTCTTCATCTCCCGATACGCTCTCGCCTGTGTCCGATCTTTCAGACATTTCAACGTCTTTTTCTGAATCCGACATCGTAGCATGGCATAGACAATTCACCTTTGCAGTTTGAAGAACACCTGCTTGCTTCTGATGATTTCTTTTAGATAACTAATGAGTGTTTGTGTTCTATGACTCATCCAATTACAGTAGTTTTCACTAAATGTGGATGGAGCCAATGATCTGCATTGGATGGCACACATGACGTGAAATAAATATTTATAAACATTAAACCAGGGGTAACCAATTAAAAATCAGCAGGGTCCGAATAAAGAAAATCATCAACCAGTAAATGTCCGGAGACATTTTTAATGCTCTGTTACTTTAAACAGAATTTAACACTGAAATAAAATGAGGTGTTTATGCATTGATGTTATACATTGAATTTTTTAATTTAAAAAAAATTATAAAAAAAAAGAGTTGACACTTGTATGACTGTATTCCTGTATATCTATCAGTAGTTAAAGTACAAGGGTCAGAAAAATGCAAATTCTGCACTGTAAAACAATGACAGCGTTGTTTGGCTGTGACGCCATCCTGGAGAGAAATATCAGCTGTGCTGCTGCCATCAACACCCTTGTTTATAGATGTTGGAAATCTGCCTGTTTTCCAGTGTGGTCCTGCTTCTCTGACTGTGGCTGGCTGGATGTGCTCTCTTCATCCTCTGACATGGGAGTTTGCTCAGAGCTCGTCTGCCTGGCTGTGTGTTTCCTGGACGGGGCCGCCTTTTGCAGCTGCTTTTTGTGTCTCTGCTTCTGTCTCCTTGAACCCCAGTCGGCCTCAGCAGATGGCCGCTCACACTGAGCCTGGTTCTGCTGGAGGTTTCTTCCTGTTCATAGGGAGTTTTTCCTCTCCACTGTCGCCATATGCGGATCTACTGGGGTGGCATACTGTAGGGTGGCAAATGCCACCCTAAATGACAGCCTTGCCACCCCTGCTGCCACCCCAGTTGGCGGTAGGGGTGGCGAGGCTTATAAATTATAGATAATTTGAGAATTACGACTGCTAATTTCCAATGTCGGACTGCAGTGAATGCAGCACGAGATGACGCGAGAGCGACTGAGACTGATTGTTTTGAAAACTGAATGGGGCAAAGCGAGGGAGCCAGGGGTCATGGGGAGAGGAGACACGGGATGAAACAGGTAAAAACTGATTATTGAGAAATTAAATCATAATGAAAGCACAATGATGCTAGCATAGCTGCAATGCTGATTTTGAGATGATAAAAATCAGGTTTTAGAACGTTATTTCTCTAACTATGATGTTAGTTAGGCCTGACGTCTCAGGCTCATAAAGACATATTTGCGGCCAACTATGACAGAAAAGAGACTATCAAGTTTGGTTAAACTCAAATCAAAACGCACAAAGGCATTGGATCTAAATAAATTTGTGAAGCGTTTTGCTGAGCAACATGGAAATCGCTGCATTCAGCTGTTATAGTCATGTTAACTTTATGTTATGGTCTCTGGTGAGCCTTTACAGAGCTGTTACATTTTGTTTTGGCACCTGAGAAAATCTGATATTTCCTTTAATAAAACCAAAAGTGTTAAAAGTAAATTTAAAAATGTGATACTGGTTTAAATCCTGCTTAATATGAAGCAGTGTTTTTTCTTTTTTGTATATATAGTATGAAACTATCCAGAAATGACCTGTATGAACCTACTCACAAAATGTTTTGTACTTTTCAGACTGGAAGCAAAATTTATTTTTATGTTGCTTCTTTTTAGATTTGTGGAGATTTTGATGTAACACACAGTACCTGCCTTTTTGTTGATTTGTTGATACAGCAGCTCTATCTACAGCATATCTACATGCATGAAATGTCCATTTATGTTGCCTTACCTGCTGTATGTCAAGTTACTGAGGAACAAATGGGGTAAATGTGTGTTCAGAGTAAACATTACATAGATGTCCGGTACCTTGTTTGGGTGCCTTGACCCATTTATTTCTATTGTGTATTTATGCTCACTTTAGTACAGCTCAGTTCATAGATCTCTGATGGGTAACTTTTATTTCTATAGTTTCTTCTTGTGCAAATGCTGTAAAGCTGCCTCTCTGACAGTCAATCTCACACATCTGCAACTCAGCACCTGTGTCTTACCTTAATACCTTTCCTGTGATAATGCCCCACTAGAAGCAGTGTTATCATTCTTCTATCTCCTATTAAGTCATATCACATTACCAATATGAACTGTTTCACATGAAACACTTACTGTACATACTATTCTCACCAAACTGTGATAACTGTGATTAAATTCATTGTAAAAAAAAAAAGCCATATGTTGCCACACCCCTCAAAAATTCCTGTCCCCCTCTCGCCACCCCATAAATATTTTTCTAGATCCGCCCGTGACTGTCGCTACAAGCATGCTTAGTAGGAGTCAATGCAATCAACTGGTTTTGCTTGGATAGAAAACTTTGAATCAATTTGACTGGATGATCTGGTTGAACTGTAAAGTGCCTTGAGATGACATGTGTTTTGAATTTGTGCTAAATAAATAAACTAAATTGAATTTAATCCTTCCAAGGCTAAATTAAAACAGCTTTTTTAAAAGCCAACGTAAAACCTCTTAAAAAGTGGGAGGCACATTTACAAACAGTTGTAATTCCCACACCGTTCACCTAACTTGCAAGATCCGAGTTTTCAGCCTCACAATAAATCCATCTTAAAAAGACTCCGGCTTATACGTCCATCTCATTACAACCAGCGGGTCGGACCAATGACATGCCAGCAGTGTTCTTTGGGGCGGGACATGTAGGAATGATGAAGGTCAGAAGGACCTTGCCGGGGCATAACAAACATGGCTACGCAGGAGGACTCACCTCTCGATACCCCAAAATGCCTCGGTTTAAAAAAAGGAGCAAAGAGACGCACTTTGTGCATTTGTAGATGGGATTATGAGAGGATTTAAAAAAAGTTAGATTTATCATCTTACTCCGCTAGTTTTGAAAACACTCAAGAAGCTGCAGATGATTTGCTGCTACGATTGGCGGAAAGCGTATTATGTAGGGTGGGAACTAGCTGGCACGTCACCCAATCAGCTCCAAGTATTAAACTAAACGTCCCTCCTTTCCACCTACAGACTGAACGGCAGCCTTTCCAGGCTGATATCGTAGTTCTCAACGTAGTTCAATCCATATCAATCTGGCTACTAGGTTAGTGAAAGCTGCATTTTAAAGCTGAAATTCTGCAGTTGAATCACATCTGGTTTATTTTATATAAAATCCATTGTTGTGCTGTAAAGAGCCAAAACTTTTTTTCGGTATTAAGGTTCTCTCGTGTACTTTTCAATTCCTACAGATTGAACCTTTAATCACTGTACCTGGACAGGCGAAATTACTCTTACGCAGCTCTGCGAGGTTCAGGCCCCGCAGTGCTGGAGGAGAACTGCACTGAGTGTAGAGGCCCAGAGCAGACCGCTGACGGAGCCATGGGGAAAGCCAGGCCAGGTGACAGTCACAGCGCAGGGCGTTAGAGTGGAGACGACTGCAGAGAAAAAAGCAGGTTTGAATGGTTCCCTGCAGATAGCATTAGGGAATGAGAGGGGTGCGCTTACAAGGTGCGGAGTTTTGGCATGTGGTTAAAACTGGAGACTGGGATGGTGCTGATGTTGTTGTTGTTCAGGGTGCTGCATGGGATAAAGGAACAGTTGGAGAGTTGTAAAACTAACCAGAGTCAAGGATTTAAAAACTTTGATAAAAACCTCCCAGAAGTACGTCTTCCACCTTTGGTATACTTACAGCACTTCCAAGGATCGCAGAGCTCTGAACGCTCCTTCCTCGATGCAGCTGATGTGGTTTTTATCCAGCTGACTGGTAATACAAACAGCACAGGTCATTCATTTTCTCAGTCCTTTCACGTTGGATTTTGACCGAGCCAACATTTTAACTCACAGATTTTTGAGGTCTGTGGCTCCTCTGAACGCTCGCCTTGGGATGGCCTGGATGGCATTCTCACTCAGATCCCTGGAAAAGAAGACTATCTGCATCATCTGTTTCTAATTTTTAATTCCTTTCTTCTGAAATTCAGAAATGTTCACCTGTGACAATTCCTCTAAATGTTAAAGCTTAAAACCATATAAAATTGCTGTCATATTGTTGAACATCAAATCCAGACACATCTGGCTTAGACCTCTGGAGGAGATAGGGACCCCATTTCATCATCTGCTTCATTCTATCTCTCTTCATCCACTCTGCAGAATCTATTAGTTCAATCTCTAACGTTCTGCTCTCTCTACTTTTTTTATAGTAGCTTCATCTGGTCTGTTCCTGTTTAGCTGTGACTCCATCCTGGAGAGAAATATCAGCTGTGCTGCTGCCATCAATACCTTTGTTTATAGATGTTGGAGATCGGCCTGTTTTCCAGTGTAGTCCTGTTTCTCTGACTGTGACTAACTGGATGTGCTCTCTTCATCCCCTGATATGGTAGCTGGCTCGGAGCTCATCTGCCTGGCTGTGTGTTTCCTGGACGGGGCCGCCTTTTATAGTTACGCCTTTTGTGTCTCTGCTTCTGTCTCCTTCAACCCCAGTCAGCCTTGGCAGATGGCCGCTCACACTGAGCCTGGTTCTGCTGGAGATTTCTTCTAATTAAAAGGGAGTTTTCCTCTCCACTATCTCTACATGCATGCTCAGTGCGAGGGATTGCAGAGTGTTAACAAGTCCTTGCAATCAGCTCGTTTTCCTTAGATAGAAATATGTTGAAGGATATGATTGTGTTACCTGTATAAATTAAATTGAATATTATCTAATTGCAGCTTTTCTATGTGTGAGTTGAAATATCTGCAAATTAGCTTCACACTCTTACATAATTTCTGAGATATTTAGCTTTTCTTTTGACGAGGTATGGCTTTACTAGTAATAAGGAATTTGGCCTACAAATGATAAAACAATAATATCCTCATAACCATAACAAACTACTGGCTGTAGCGGCTGGCTAGCTCAAGTGGTAAGTCACCCGTCCTGCAAACAGAGGGCCTGGGGTTCAAATTCCAGCTATCGGGGGAATGAGCTGGCAGTGTGGGTCCTTAGACAAGACCTAATGCCTGCTTTGAGGAGCGGCAGTCTAGTGGTTAGGGTATGGCGCTTTGAATCCCGAGGTTCTGAATTCGACGGACTGCCACTATGGCTCCCTGAGCAAAGACCCTTAGCCCCACACTGCATGATGCACAATGCTCCAAGGGGATGGGTTAAATGCACAGAGGTCATTTCATTGCTCTGTGACAGTGTAATGACAATAAAATGCTGGAGAAAAAAAACCCTACTTGATTTTTCAAAAAGAGCAAAATATGTAATATTACTGTGATCTGAACTTAATTTAAAGGTTTCCTGCTTGTCCTGCACTTTATATATGCCTGGTCTTCATTGCTCTTCTAAATTTTAATAATTAGGAATCTCATTTAATCATTTAAATGAGTGAGAGCCAGTCTGTCGGGATCCTAGGCAGTTTCCAATGATTGTTGTATTTCTGTTGATTCGTTAGCTTTGGGATTTGAATTATTTTCATGTTTTTTTTTCATATCCAGTCTGTTTTCCTTCCTATTGTTGGTTTTCAATGGTCCCGTCTTTCTGGATGTAATTATTCTGCGTTAATGAGTCTGCTCCTCCAATCATTCTGCTCACTCAGCTGTAGCTCAGCCACTTGTTCCTCGCTCTAGTAATCACCGTCCCAGAGGGTGCTCTGCATTACCTCCCTGGGGAGGAAAATTATGCACCTGGAATGTATGGTTTTCCAACTGCAGATCGGCGAGGGCTTGGATGCGTTCAAAGCAGGGGATCCGCACTCTCACAGATACATACCAATCTGTATATGTAATCTCTCATAGTTTGGGTTTCTTTTTATTTATGCTTTATGATGTGATCAAATCCAATCCTTCAAAAGGAAAACCCCTCAAACTTCCCTTCCTCATATCTTCCTAATGGGTGAGACATTTGGTGATGCCCAGTGAGCTCTCTGTTTGGTCTTGTTTTTTTGTTTTTCCTTTCCTTATTGGTCCCATTGTTCCCTGTAATATTGGTTCTCCTCTTATTATCATCATTCTCAGGGTTTCTGCTTTCTGGTTTGTTAATTGAATTAATTGATGAACATAATAACAGTAATTTAATTTAATTTTTCATAAATATATCTTACAAAGAAATTCGATTTAGTTAACACCTTAAAGCAGTTGTCATATGGATAGTTATTTATTTATTTATTTATTACTAAATCATCTAAAAAACAAATTTAGTAGAAATATAGAATTTATTTAACTGGCTACAACAGATGAGAATTAAGATATAACTATTTCTAAAGTTCACATTGCAACCTGAATGAACAGGGCTTCGTCTGGAGGAAGTTCATTGAGGTCAGAAACATAAAACAGACAGAAAAGGAGGCGATGATAGATATACAGTGTGAAAAGATGGCTGAAACCAGGAGAGATGGAAGTGTAGGAGTTGGTAGACAGTGATACAGGTGGTAGAAATGTACATTTTTCATTCTAATGGTGAACAGTGTCAGAGGGTTCAGCATCAGTTCAAGAAGAAATAGGAAAATAAAATGAAAAGCTCACTGTCACTAAATATTCCAGTCTGGACTGTTTTAGGATTTTCTGCTCTAATTTACTTCTGTCCAATCAGATATACATGAATATTATGTTATAGTAAAACATATGTTAAACTTAGGCCTAAAATTGAACTTTTTAGATAGATTTAAATGTGTTGTTTAACTTAAACAAGAGTTTTGTTTCTGATTAGAAATGCATTTGATACAGTTGATCACAATATTCTTTTAGAAAGGCTTTGGCTTTCTTTAGGAATTAAGGAAACAGCACATATACAGCTTTAAATGGCCAAGCTCCATCTGATATCAGAGATCTGATTGTTCCTTATGTTCCTCAGACAGAATGTCTCTCTCATTCTGCAGGTTTACTAGTGGTTCCGAGAATTTAGAAGTAGAATAGGAGGCAGATCATTCAGTTATCAGCCTCCTCTCTTGTGGAACCATCTACCAGTTTTAGTCCGTGAGGCAGACACTCTGTCTACTTTTAGGAGCAGGCTTAAAACGTCTTTGATAAAGATTACAGTATAGTTAAGAGTGGCTCAGGGTATCCTTTTTTTTTGTTGAGTTTTTGCGTCACTAGTGGCTAATTTTTTTGACAGTAGGCTGACAGGAAAGGGGGTATGAGAGAGGGAGAGATATGCGGCAAAGGACCACAGGTTGGATTCGAACCTGGGTCGGCTGCGTCAAGGACTAAGGCCTCCGTACATCGGTTGTTGGGCTAAGCGCTGCACCACGTGCACCCCCTGTGCCAACTCTATTGTTATGCATCTATAGACTTAGACCGCTGGAGGACATAGGGACCACTTTATGACTTGATCGTTCTGCTTTGTTGTTTCTCTATTTTCCCATTCTACAGTATTTGTTAGTTTGATCTCTAACTTTATGTTCTCTCTGCTTTTTTCTCATCATTGTAGCTTCATCTGATCCATTCATTTTGGGATGTGACTCCATCCTGGAGAGGATCGACAGTGGCGTTGGATGTAGGAGTTTGCCCTGAAATCGAAGGGTTGAAGGCTTCAAGCCCCGACTCCCGACTTTCAGTGTTGTTGTGTCTTTGGGCAAGACACTTCACCTGCATTGTCTACTGATGGTGGTCAGAGGGCCCGGTGGCGCCAGTGTACGGCAGCCCCGCTTCTGTCAGTGAACCCCAGGGCAGCTGTGGCTACAATGTAGCTTGCCACCATCAGTGTGTGAGTGAATGGGTGAATTAATGTAGTGTAAAGCGCTTTGGTCAAGTCTCCTAACTTGAATAAAGGCGCTATATAAGTACATGCCATTTACCATTTTACCAGGAATATCAGCTGTGCTGCTGCCATTCACACATTTGATTTAGCTTTCGGCAATATTTGCCTCTTTAGATCAGATGTGACTGGCATGATGTTGTGACGTATGTTCTTTGCGCGCACCTAAATTAGCTTATCAACCCAAGTCTGATGTTCCCACTGTATGCCTACCTGAGCTGAGCTGTTTGAAGATCGATATTACCGTGGGTCGCTTGCAAAGTCATTTGACCCGGGTTAACGCAAGTCAGTGAGCTGTTCCCTCTGCCACTAAAAGCCGAATGTTCCCAGGTTTAAACAAGTTTCTTGGCCAGTGGGAAAGGGGTGTAAGATAAAAAACACTTCGAACCAATCTTACTGTATGACCTCATTTGTAGAAATGAGATGCTCCACTCCTGTCTCATGATCCAGTCAGGAGACCATCCTGCCTTGTCATTCTGATGGAGCATTCTGTCCTCATGAACTGATCAATTGTTCTGTCAGAACAATACTCTGTTTGTAACCATGTGTCATGTTCTGTTAATAAAATGCTCTGCGGAGGAGGTCCAGTGGGAGACAGTGTGTTTGAGTCTGGGGTTCAACTGTCTCTCCTTTCTGCAGAAATTGTATCCATTATTGTGTATTTCACTTCTTCTTTTGCAAACCTACATTTATGAACCCAACAACCTCATTGCTCTAAAAAGAGCCTTGAAATGACATGAGTTGTGAATCGCAGAAATGGCAAAAGTACTCACTTTCCATACTTGAGTAAAAGTACAGATACTTGTGTTAAAAAATACTCTGGTAAAAGTGGAAGTACTGATTAAACTTCTTTACTCAAGTAAAAGTAACAAAGTACAGACTTGTAAATTTACTTAAAGTATTAAAGTAACAGTAGAAACCACTTTTTTCATGCCGTTGCCTACATTTTAATTGGATGTCTGCCAATAGGACTAGATCTCCGTTGTGTTCATTTTCAATCATCTCGTCGTCCATGCTACTATGCTAACGCCACCGCCACCAAGCTGCAATGATTTGCCGCCAATGAATACCGCCGAATCTGTCGATTCATCTTGTAGTGGTGCGTCAAATGCAACGTAGATTCCCATCCAATTAGATTGAATTTGGTATTGATGACGTGAAAAATAATAACGGTAACTCCATTGAAA